GTGCCCAGTTGCTGGCCGCCACTCCCCTTGCTGTGTCCCATGGGCCCCCGTTCACCTGGTCTGCGCTCTCAGGGCGGCGGCTGCTTGGAGGGGGGCCGCTGTGACCTGGGGTTGTGGCATTCGTGTGCATCTCGTCCTGTTCCCATGCTGTTCCAGCTTTTCGCCACCCAGGTGCTCAGTTGCTAATCGTCCCTCCCTTGGTCGTGTATCAGGGGCCCCTGATCACATGGACTGTGCTCTCTGTGCAGTGGATGGTGGTGGTGGTGGTGGTGGGCCACCGTGAACATTGGGTTTTGGCGCTCGCGAGTTTCGCGTATCTTTCCCACGCTGTTCCTGCTTTTCGCTGCCCTGGGGTCCTATTGTCGGTTGTTCATCCCTCGCCCTCTCTCCTTCCCCTCTCTCCTCCCCCCTCCCCCCCTCGGCCCCCGCGCCGCCATGGCGCTGGTCCCTGGGCTTCGGCCTCCTGCGGTTCCTCCCCGCTCTCGTGGTGCTGTTCGGCAGGTGTCCGTCCACCCGCGGTCTGGCAAATGTCCGTCCGCCTGGTCGGTCCCCTGGGCAGGTCTGCGGCGCGGGCGTGGCAGCCTAATGCTATCGTTCCCGGCTGTGGGCCCTGTTCGTCCGTTCTGCTTCTCTGCCCAGGCCGCTGGGCCTCTTCGACCTTCGCCAGTTTTGATCCCCAGCGCTCCCATGCGTATCCGCGCTTCGGGGCTCCGTCTACCCTGGCGGCCAGCGCTTCGCGCTCCAGATTAAGTACCTCCGCGCCACTGCTCCTTCGGCCACTTCATGCTCCTCGCATACCTCTTCAAGGGGTTTCACTTCATGGACCCAAGTCTCCGACCCACCCCGCTGCTTTCCACGCAGCCGCGTGGCCTCGCGTTCGTGCGTCTGTCTTGCACGCCCGCGAAATACTGGCGTTCTGAGCGGCTTTTGCCCCCATCCCGCCTCATCCCTTCCCGCGTTCCGCCGTACCCCAACACGCTCCCTTCCAGATTGTCGTCGTCGTTGTCGTCGTCGCCGTCGTCTCGGATGTTGCGGCGGCCCTTTTCCAACTGGCCCCAGGGATGCGCAGGTGGTTTCTTCTTGTGCACCACATCGCGAGGCCCAGAGGGCTTCGGGGGCGACAGGTTGGCGCGAAAGCTGGGGACACCGTGTGCCAGGACCACCTTTTGCAACACCCGATCGCCGTCGTCGTCGTCGTCGTCGTCGTCGTCGTCGTCGTCGTCGTCGTCGTCGTCACCCCCATCATGATTCCGCACTGCGCGATGGTATTCCAAGCTGTTCTGCTTCTCCCGCGCGTGTTGAGACTGCGCGCTGTCATGTGCTGAGGCTGAAGGTTGGTCCTGTCCCTGTTGCTGCTCTGTCTCCCCTTTGCTCTGTTCCATCTCTGTGTTTGCGCTTCGACGTTCCTGCGCCATCGACCGACCGACCAAGCGAAGATGAGGAGAAGGAGGAGGAGGAGGAAGAGGAGGAGGAGGTTTCAGGATGCGCCGGAATGGGCCATTCGGACTTATTTCAAGTATTGAAAAATGTCTAACACTTTCGGGGGTGTCATGGGGGTCCTCTGTGTGGGCTTGCTCAGGCTGCTTTGGCGCCCTCCAGGTCGTGTCTGGAGCCGTCCGGAGGCTGTCTGGGGCCACGTGGGGGCCTGTTTGGGCCCACCTTGCTTGGATTGTCTTGGGCAGGCCTGGGAGCGTTGAGCGTTCGCGACGGCCGGAAAGTGTGGAAAGCGGAAGCCGTTGGAAAACATATTTATGTTTTTCATTGGTTTTGGCCATCCATGGCGTCTTTGGAGGCCCCTTGTGTGAAGATTGTGGCCTCTTGGGAGCTCCTGCAGTCTTGGATGGAGGTCTCTTGTGCCGTCCTGGCGGCCCCCTAGGGCTCTCCTGGGCTAATTGTTTATACGTCGTGATGGGAAAATTACCGCCTGGACCCCCCCTCTGGGTGCCCTGAATGCCTCCTTCCTTCAAACTGCGATTCGGGTCCAGGTTTCGTGGTTGAAGCGGTCAGCCCATTGAGGTATGGGATATGCTTTGATCGGCTTCCCATTGTTTTGTAAGAACATTTCATGATATCGTCGCACTGATTGTTTCCCATGTCTCAAGCATCGCTTGAAACCCTTAGGAACTAAGTTCGAATCGGAAGCCCAATCCACTTCGGACAGTACTAACACGAACACCAGACGACTTCCGCAATTTGGTCGGCCTGGTCGTGGGCAACCCTTGCCGGTGACGTATCGTGGTTTGGTGTATATTTTTGCTTGTTTCAGTTATTTGAAGCCTTTGCTTCTACATTCTGCTGCCTCTTCGCGCCTCCTCCTTACTCCTCGTCTTCTTCCATCTGAGACCCTGAAGAGCTGTAATGACGCAGGAGAGGTAACAGCAAACATAGCAGTTGCCGTGCGAATGCTGATTATCGCACCCCGCAGGAGGACCGCGGCGCAACGCAACACAACACGCGCAGCAACCAGGCAAGCTCACAGGGGCTATTGATCAGCGTGTTAGCAGCAGCTGCTACTAATCCGGCAGGTCGGTGTCGTGTCGACGCCGCGGCGGACCGCAGAGCGTGCGTTCAAGGTGGAACGTCGGTGGTGGCACGGAGTCGACCAGTGCCGAAAGATTTGCTCTGTCGGAAGGTCGCGATGGTTCAAGGTTATACATGATCCACGCGGTGTCAGAAGCCAAGTCACACTCGTGGCGGCACGACTCTGCCAGACTCATGCCGTGCTTCGTGCTCCCAGTCGCAGTGCTGCGCATATTTGCCGCCGCGCTCGGGGAAGTTGCGCAGCACCTCTGGGGTGCGGGGCACGGCAGCGGAGTCGCGTGAGAGTTGCGCTTCCTTTTCGGGGGGGGGTCTTCCTCGGAGCCTCTTCTCTGGGGGCCGTCGTTGGGGGCGCTCTCTGCGGACACCTGGTCCGTCTCGGGGCCTCTGGGGGCCTTCGTGGGCCCTCGTCGGCCGTCCTCATGGGGCCGTCTGGAAGGTTTTAGGCCATCCTTGGGCTCCTAGGTCGCCAATCGGCTCACTCCTTGGGTCGTCCCGGTCCGAGGAGCCGGGGAGCAACGAGCACGGAAGAGCGTGAATCTTTTTGATATTTTGGGTTGTCCGGGGGGCCTCTCTGGCGATCTCCTGATCTCTCCGTGTGGCCTTCCGTGCGCTTCTTGGGGCGCCGTGGGATAATCTCGGAGGCCTTTTGAGGCCGTCCTGGCGGCCTCCCATGTTGATCTGGGGCCATGGTATCTTCTCGAGCTCATCTCGAGAGGTCTGGTGCTCCCATGTCGGGGAGAGCGTCTTCTGGGGGACGGGTTTTGGTGGAGGGGCAGACATCTCCCACGTCGGTAGCCATTCGGGGCTCAGGATCCTCCTGCAAGCTTGCCAGTACAGTCGCCAACTCTGCACTGGCCACGAATGGCGTCGGCGGCGGTCGCGTCCGTGGGAGAAGCAGACCTCCGTCAGCAGATTCGGGAGCTGCAGAAGCAGCTTGCGGAGGCGAAGGCTTCTGCCGCACATCAGGCACACTTCGATGAGGAGAAGAAGCTGGCTCAAGAGCGAGCGAGCGGAGTGAAGTCTGTTGATGTGTGCTTCGTGATCGACTGCACATCTTCTATGAAACGTGTAATTGACGCCGTCAAGCAGAAATTCATTGAAGTTAAGCGGTTCATTGTGGCCTACATGGGGGCGGGAGCGTTGGTTCGCTTATCAGTGGTTGGATATCGCGACCACGGGCATAAGGTGCCTCTCGAGTTCTGCCCCTTCACCACAGAGGACTCCCACATGTCAAAGTTTTTGGCGTCTCTTGAGCCAACGTCTTGTCCCGACCCAGACGAGTGCGAGGATATGATCTCAGGACTTCAGCAGGCAGTCGAGCTCGAGTGGAGGGGAAGAATTAGGCTGCTCTACGTCGCTGCAGACAATCCGCCTCATGGCCGAAGGTTTCATTCGAACCTGACGGACAATGAAGACAGGCACGTTGACGACCCTCGCCAGTGGGAAGTAACAGATGCCGTGTTCAAAACCATTAGGGACATGGGAATTCATTTGATATTTTTACACGCGCAGTCGCGTGATCTGACCAAGATGTTCCAGGTATTCAGAGGCTTGATGGAGATTGATGGCGATTGCGAAAATCTGCAGATTCTGGAGATGAGCAACAAGGTGGCCGATTTTACCCGGAGCATGATTCGATCTTGCGGTGACAGTTTGACCAAATCTCTGACGAACAAGCGTTCCACGAAAGGGAAAAAGGTCAAATGTGAACAGCATTTCTTCGAGACGTGTCCTGTAGGGTGGGAACATTCCCACGACTGGCCCCAGCATGAAGTCGTGCTGACGACATTCAAGACTAAGACTCCGCAGGGCCAGTTAGCCTGGCACGAAGTGAAACGCACCGTCCGCTTGCGCTCGCAGCCGTTTGCAGAGGGGGCTATGCGTTATGCATTTCCTGCCTATGATGAGGTCGCTAAGCAACAGCTGGTTGCCAAGGTGTACAAGGACAAGGGCGACTGGTGCAACTCAGTCGCTGCGTTGCAGAAGGACGCGGTGACGCAGAGTTTTGCTGAGCACTTCGCAGTGGAATTTTCCAAGCTGTGCTGCCCAGTCAAATATGTTCCAGTGCAGATGATGGAGATAACCAGTAAGACGCAAGATCATAAGATTCTTCGCCGGACGCTGATCGAGCCTTTCATTCAACAGGCTTACGCAATTCCGCCAACCTTTGAGGATCCTTGGGGACCCTTGGGGGGGCCCTTTCAGGCCTCTTGGGAATTTCTTGGATACCTGCTGGCGGTCTCGATGGTCCTCTTGGGGCGGAGGGCTCAGAATGTCTGTTCGAGTTGCTTCCTCCTCCTCCTCTTCCTCCTCCTCGCATGCGGTTCCCCCACCAAGTACACACTTCGTGGCCCCATAGGATGCTCCACCGAAGGACCCCGTGGCGGAACTCGCATGCGTCTCCCCACCCAGTACAGCGTTTCGTGGCCCCATAGGGAGCTCCACAGAAGGCTCCAGTGGCGGACCTCGCACGCGGTCTCCCACCCAGTACAACATTTCATGGCCCCATAGGGAGGAGGAGGAAGAGGAGGAGGAGGAGGAGTAGGAGGAGGAGGAGGAGTAGGAGGAGGAGGAGGAGGAGGAAGAGAAGGAGGAGGATCAGGAGGAGGAGGAGGCGGAGGAGGAGGCGGAGGCGGAGGCGGAGGCGGAAGCGGAGGCGGAGGCGGAGGCGGAGGCGGAGGCGGAGGCGGAGTTGAAGGCGGAAGAGGAGAAGGAGAAGGCGGATGATGATGATGATGATGAGGAATAATAATATTAAGCGTGATCATAATAATATGAAAAAACAACACCCATAATGACTAGTATTAAGAATAATAACAAGAGGACGACGACGAGTACGAATACCAATCGTACTAATAGCCGTAAGAATAATCAAACGACTGCGAGGAAGACGAATACTACTGAGGCGAATAAGAACAATGACAAAAACCAGGCGAATAATACTGAGACGCAGGACAAGACGACAACACGCTATACTACTGGTAGTAATAATAATAAGTCGAAGTCGAATACTAATACGTAATACGAGTGCTAATGGAACTAATGATGATACGGGTAGGACTACGACTCACAGTACTGATCGTAAGCATAAGAATGATGCCACCAATACGAATAAAGCTGCGACAACATATATTATTAGTATTAATATGGATAACCGTAAGACTACGACTGCTGAGACGGAGAAGACACATATGTTAATGATAAGACTGCGAATGCCAAATGCTACAACGACGAATGCTAACACTGTTCTTAATAAGGAGAATCTGATAATGATTTTTATCACTAATGCGACTACGCAGCATATTCACAGTAACACTAAGACGCAGACTGAGACCATTACGAGTAAATCTATTAAGCACGCTGAGACGAATCCGAATACTACTGGTATGGGCATTCCGAGTACTGTAAGAAGAGTGAGACGAATATTCAGAATCTGAGCATCATCATGGTACTACTACTACTACTACTACTACTACTGCTGTTACTACTACTACTACTACTGCTACTATTACTACTAGTACCACTACTACTACTACTACTACTACTACTACTACTTCTACTTATACTTCTACTTCTACTCGTACTATTACGAATAGTACTATTACTACTGGTAGTACTCGCAATACTGATCGCCCCCTTACGATTACCAATGCAAGGTGATAGTAGTAACAGTAGTAACACCACCAGTAATACTAATACTGGTCCTGGTACGGATCGTATTGCTACTACTACTACTACTACTACTACTACTACTACGACTACGACTACGACTACGACTACGACTACGACTACGACTACGACTACGACTACGACTACGACTACGACTACGACTACGACTACGACTACGACTACGACTACGACTACGACTACGACTACTACTACTACTACTACTACTACTACTACTACTACTACTACTACTACTACTACTACTACTACTACTACTACTACTGCTGCTGCTGCTACTACTACTACTACTATTACTAATGCTACCATGAGTGCTGATAATAATAGCAACACCGATGCCAATGATACAACTAGTAATACCTGTCAGGGCTTCACCCCCTGCCGCCGGCCCCCTCTCTATCATAATGGGATATGACAGCGTTGCGTCGGTGCGTCTCGGCGCTGCCTCGGCGCATCTGGGAACAGCATGCGGGGTCGGACAGGAGTCATCAGCGCATATTGGAACGTTTGCGTTATCGAAGACGCCTACGGCGAATCACCGCCGCCCCCTGCCTTTTTGGAAACGCCGATGTGGCCGAAAGTTGGACTAGAGCTTGGCCAAGCTATCGGACCATGAGTTCCCCGAGTCGGTTTGGAAAGCTTTCGGGGAACACATGGGAGAGAATGATTATGAACAGGAAGAGGAAGAGGAAGAAATAGAGTAGGAGGATGAGGGTTGTTAGGAGTCTCTTGGGGCACCCTTGGGGTCTGTTGGGGGCTTCTTGGGGGCCTCTTCGAGGCCTCTTGGAGGCATCTTGGGGGCCTCCTTGGGCCTCTTGGGGGCCTTTGGGGGCTTCCTGGGGGTCTCTTTGGCCGTCTTAGGGCGTTCCTGGTCCGTCTGACGCCGTCTGGAGCCGTCTTGGGGGCCTCTCTGGGCCGTCTTGGGGCCCTCTTGGGGCGCTTCAGGGCCGTCTTGGAGGCCATGTTGGGCGTCTTGGAGGCCTCTTGGGCCGTCTTGGGGCGCTCTTGGGGCCGTCTTGGGGGGCCCTTGGGCCGTCATAGGGCCTTCTTGGAGGCCTCTTGGGCGATCTTGGGGGCCTCTTGGGCCGTCGGAAGGCCGAAAAGAAGAAAACGCAAAAAACCTTCAAAAACCTAAGGAAAACCAATGATTTTGGCCTCTTCGGGCTCTCCTGGAGAACGTCTTGGAGGCCTCTTGGGCCATCTTGGAGGCATCTTGGGGCCATCTTGGCCGTCTTGGAGGGCATCTTGGGCCGTCTTGGAGGCATCTTGGAGCCATCTTAGCCGTCTTAGAGACCATCCTGGCCGTCTTAGAGGCATCTTGGAGGCCATCTTGGAACCGTCTGGGGCAGGAAATTGGGGAATTGAGCTCCTGGGCATCCTTTCCGGGTGGCCGGCGGGACGGGCCGAAGCCCACTGGGGAGTTCTTTTAGAAAAAGAACCAAAACCAAAACCGATAAAATCTAACACGCCAGGCACCCCTGCAAGCAGGGGGCGGCGGATCCTAGTGGTCTTCGGCCTATCCCGCCACCGTGCCTGGGTTGGGTCTGAGGCCTCTTGCATATGTGCTGGGGTGTCGTGGCGGGCCTCTCGGGGGCCTCGGAGGCGGTTTGGGCGCCTGTTGGGGGACTCTTGGGGCCTCGTGGGGTATCTGTTGGGCTTCTTGGAGGCCTTTGGGGCGCGTCTTGGGCGCCTCTTGGGGCCTCTTGGAGGAGATCGTGGCCTGGAGGGCGCGAATGTGGCGCGATTTGCAGAGGATCGTGGCTTCGGGGACCGTGGGATCGTAATTTACGCGAATAGACCAAATTCCAATTTGGAGCGCGACCAAAATTGGAGCTTCGGCGAATGTGACGTAATTTACGCGGGATCGTGGCTTCTGGGGCGCGAACGTGTTGTAATTTACAGGAGATCGTGGCCTCGGGGGCGCGAATGTGGCGTAATTTGCAAAGGATCGTAGCCTCGGGGGCGCGACTCTGACGAAATTTAGAAGGGATCGTGGCCTCAGAGGTGAAAATGTACTGCAATTTCGGGGGATCGTGGCCTCAGGAGCGCGGGTACGGCGTAACTTACGAAGGTTTTTGGTTCAAGGGGGCGCGAACATTGCAGAATTTGTATAAGTTTATGGCGTCGGGGGCGCAACCATTGTATAATTTGCAAGGGTTTATGGCCTCGTGGACGAACCTATTGCATAATTTACAAGGGATCAAAGCTCGAGTACGGCGTAACTTACGAGGGTTTATGGCCTCGGTGGCGCGAAGATGGCGTAATTGATAATGGTTTCGGTTTCGGGGACGCGAATATCATGTATTTTTGCATGTCCCACGCCCCCTCCGAGGCATTCTGACAACCCTCTCAGGGCGAAAAATCCCGTTTGGGGCTCCCGCCCCTCGCGCGGACAGCAACAATCTGCCGGCCCCCTTGCGGGGCCACCAGGCTGCGAGGATGAGGATTGCAGCTCCCTGTTCCAGTTGCAGTTTCTAGTTTCAACTGTTACAGTCATGCTTTCAGCTTCCTTACTGTTAATTGTTGCTGTCCGCGCGAAGGGTGGAGCCCCAAACGGGATGTTTTAACACGCCCTGGGAGCGTTCTCAGAATTCCTGGGGGGGCGTGGGACATGTAAACATGTATGAGATTCGCGTCCCCGAGGCCATAATCCGTAGCAGATTACGCCATATTCGCGTCCCCGAGGCCATAACCTTCGTAAATTACAGCATGTTCGCGTCCCCAAAGCCACAATCCCTTGTATTCTCCGAGGCCATAATCCTTTGTAAGTTACTATTTGTTCCGTCCCCGACGCCATTCACTGTTGTAAATTACGCAGTGTTCGCGGCCCCGAGGCCATAAAACATTCGTAAATTATGTAATATGTGCGGTCTCGTGGCCATAAACCATAGTAAATTATACAATATTCGCGTCCCCGAAGCCATGCAACCTCGTAAAGTACGCAATAGTTGCGTCCCCGAGGCCCTAAACCCTTGTACATCATACAGTATTCGCGTCCCCCAAACCATTATCCTTGGTAAAGTATGATTGGTCCTCGCGTGAAATCGCGACATTGCTTGACGGCAGCGTCCAGACATCCCTACATTCTAAGAGACGGGGTCCAGCGGCATGGGGGCGAAGCATTTCGGATTAACAGTAAGGACGCAGGAAGCAGGATTGTAACAGTGGAAATTGGAAACTTAAATTGGAACAGGGAGCTGCAATCTTCACCCTCGCAGCCTGGTGGCCCCGCAAGGGGGCTGGTGGATTACTGATATCATTAGTACTAACAGTATTGATATCAATAATAAGCATACTGCTACTAATCATGAAAATGCGAATGATAATCGTATATTCAACGTGAGTTTAGCCATCGAAGCAACACGACTAACACTATCAACACTAACACTACTAATTACTCCGTCGGCAGGACCCAACACGATAATTGATTCAGCTTGCCCCTCGCCCTTTTCTCCTTCGAC